TCGCTGGCGTGGATGCGAGTCGCTTCTTAAACTTGGACTGAGCTTTGGCTATTGTTGGCTCTCGTTTTAGTCGCTCAAATTCCTCCACAATGTGAGGAATGATAGCAGGGACTGTCCAAGGATTAGCGAAGAATTCGGATGCCGTTCGCCACATCCAAGTCAACGGCTCGGCGCGTCGAACAATTAATGTCGGGTCAAACACGAGCGAAAATTCCCAAAAGTGAGGCGACTTTTCGTCAGTAGTGATAACGCGTTGGGCCGTTGCGAGAGCAAACACCTCCTGTCTCCAAGCCGTCTTGTAGAGCCTGCAAAACTGTGACACCTTGAGTTTTGTGACGTAGGCAACGGGCGATCGTCCTTGCACTGCGCCATCCTTGGCGGTTTTGGAAGGAGGGGGTTGCTTGCGTTGGCTCTTTGAAGTCGTGGGATCAGGCGGATTGTCCTTGGTTAAATCGATCGACAAAGGAGTGGTCGGAATCGGTCAAGTGTTGGCCGTGGGGACGTCTTGACCTTGGGCAACTTCAGATGAGAAGAGCGAGCGTCCTAGCATTGCGCCATCCTCGACGGTTTCTGAAGGGAATCGCTTGCTGCTGCGCTTGGGAGTCGTGATGGCAGGATTATCCTTGGTCAGAGCAATTGACGATTGAGTGGTCGAATTTGATCGGGTTTTTGCCTCGAGACCTCCCTGACCTTGGTCAGCTACAGTCGTGATAAAATTCGGAGCCTTCTCCGGCGGGTTGATGATGTTATCCTTCATGATAAAGTAAATTTCTTTCCTGTTTCAGCAACAACAACTGTTTTCCTTTACGTAGAAAACGCGTAGGACTGGTACAGTTCTGTTTTGGTGCTGTGCGTGGAAAAATATTTTCAACCTTTTAGTTTTTGATTTTTGATTTTTGATTTTTATTTTCAATTTTGTACCAGCAACAATATCTGGGCTCCAAACTATGCGGAACCAAAAGAGGAGTTCGTCAGGCAAGGATGCTGGCAGAAATTGTTTGGCGCAAGAATAGGGCCACGTCGGCGTAGGGGCAATTGTCAACATGGTGGTCAAAGGTTGGGGACTTGCGGGATCCGTCTGCGTTTACGACCCCTGGATTCTTAGAGTCGGGTTTGGCAGGAGTGAAAGTGGCGATGTCGGATGGCGTTGGAAGAGGAGCAAAGGATAGCTTTGGGAGGTATTTTGCAACTCGTGGGATGGTGGTGACTGCAGCATACCAAAGGGATTGGGCGAGTTGCTGGCGGACCATGGCGACGACTTCCCATTGGGCTGGGCTGGTGTTGTCGCCAAATGAGAGACCCATACAGAAGAATAGGAATCCAAATAGCATGAACATGTGCATGCCAACAACATTGGGGTTCCATTTGACATGGCGGAAGGCGCCAGATACATCATCGTCGCAAATGTAGATTTCCTCTTTTGGGTAGGTGATGCGAAGGTTGTAGATCCAGATCAAGAAGTTGGGAAATGACCTCGGGAAGCAGATTTCGGGTTCAGTCGCTTTGGAAGTGAAATCGTTAACTGCCATGGCTGTCGAGAACAAGGATGGTGGGTGGCATCAAAGATGATACGGGGTTTGCGATATTTGTGACATGCATCAACCAACCCGAGTGGAGTAGTGTGAGCGTCTCAGATGTATGGAAGGAGGGCTGGGTTGGCTGCCAGAAGGTAGTTGCGGAGGACGTCTTTTTCGACTGCGCTTTGTGTTTTGCTAACATCGTCGTAAACCGTTCTGTGATCACCATAGGCAATGAAGGTGCAGAGGTTCTCGTCGGTCGATTCCGCATTGACGTAATTGGGTGCGCCATCGAGGAAGATGCGTTTGGGCTGAGTGATGAGGAGGGGGTCAATATTGGCTTCACGGAGGATGGGTTCGAGGGTTGGCCAGTCGCGATGGGCACCGGTGTGGATGTTGCCAACGAATCGGACGGCGGTTGGGATGCTGAGGTCATAGTGGAGTAAGCATGCGGTGAACATGCGGCTCCATCGATGAATGGCAACACTGGGGGTCAGATTTGGTGGTATTGGTTGTTGGAGGACAAAGCGATGTTTGTTGATGAGAAGGGAGAGGAGATGAATGGATGGGCACATTTGGAAGAGGGTTGCAAGGTCGGTCTGGCTCAGGTAGCAGCTCTTCAGCAAAAATATCCAGGTATGTTCAGACTTGTGCTCTGTGCTGAGCCACCTGTCGACGCTGCCCTTACCATGCGGAGAATTGACAGCAAGAAAGACCGGGGATGGGAGTTTGGTGGTTGCCCAGGCCTCTCGGTCGCATTTGGTCATAGATGGGGTAGACAAACGACCTTGGACGGAGACATCGAGGAGCTCTCCAATTTTTTCTTGCTCTGCGTCAGTGAATTGGTAGTACTGGGAATCGGTAGGTAGGGTAGATCGGTGGTGTGCTGAAGGCGCTGCGGAAGGTTGGCTAGTTGTAGGAGTGGAGATGGAAGTTTGGGGCACTTTGGGTTGGGTCGACATTTGTGGCTGGGTGGGTTGGTAAACGAGGCTGCTTGGGTGAGGGATGATGCATGTAGAGCACTCAGGGACTTGGATGGGGTGTGGAGGGAATGCACAGAAAGGAAATGGAAAGTAAGTCACTGACGGGTTGAATGGTATTTAAGTAATTGAGTTGGTGGAACTAACCATGAGGCTTTGGGGCCGAACGGGTGACCCCAGGGTTTTTTTCAATGAATTTTTCAAATGCTTGGGTGTCGGCAGATCCCATAGTTGCCGCAAACTGTTTGGTGTAGTGGATATTGTGGCATTGT